TTAGGAAAGTGTTTCCTGAACTTTTCCCCTTCCCCCCCCCCCCCCTACCCCCACCCCCTGAAGTTTGCGAAGAAACGCTATCGGGCAGGAGACGTGCGAGAGAATCCGTGTCGGTTGGAACAAGCGCAACGCCAAGAAGAGCATGCAGCTCCGACAACCTTGGCACGATGGCCTCTCCTTGCCCTTCTGACCAAGATTTTGTCTCCAAGAACGTGAAACGGGGCGAACATGAACCACAAGAAAACTAGCAACTACCGGCGTTCGCGTGCTCAGCAGCCTTTCCCTCGTGGCCGTTCCTTGCTGTCGTGCTATCCCCCCTCTGGGTCGTGTCACAAGGAGGCGTTTCTGCTCTTTCTCCGATGCTGTTGCTGTTGCAGTTCATGGCGTTGGTGGCGCGGTACAGTAGTTGTTGTTTTTGTGTAGGTGTTGCTGTTTTACTCTGACGCCGCCTTTAAACTACTGTAGTTCGCAGTCCTCTGGACAAAATTTAAGAACACCACCTCAGAGTATATCGTTCGAACGCCCGCTCTTCGAACCAAAATTCGCCACACGACCGGGTGTGTCCGCCGCCAGTCGGCGTCAAAGCTCGATTGTTGCCTAGGGTCACTGGTTTATCTACTCCCGGCATTGTTCAGAGAGGGCTTGCTTCCTCTCAGTTGTCACCCAAGGTCCAGTCGCGTGCAGCGGGCAGTAAAGAATCAACGAGGCCACACGATACCTCCTTCAATATTTTTCTGTTTTCAGAAGTTCGGGGTCGTTTGTCGCGCGTACGTTTCAGGAGCGTACCAGTTTGGCATCCTGTTGGAAGTCGTCCACTTGCAACGAGAGGGAAAAGGACAGGCGGGGGGGGGGGAGGAACAGGGGGGAATGAGAGAGAGAGAGCGAAATATGAGACAGAGAGGTTGTTTTGTTTGGCGTTCTGTTACAACTCGCCTGCCTCCACATGCTGTACTCGTGCAGAGCAAGAACTCTAGGTTTCACGCGTAAGGCGCATGGACGTCCTGCCGTGTCTAGCGACAAGGGTTGGGCGCCGCCGTTACGCGTGCGTGAGTTTACCCCGCGCTGAAAGAATCGCAGTCCATTCTGCCGGATCAAGGCTGTTCAGTATTCCGCTGCTGCCGCAGTGCACCCACTTGTCGTTTAACAGCTTTCTCTTCCAACTTTCTCAGCCCACAAAGAAAGTCACAGGTATCCATATCAACGTTCTCATTCTTCGCCTTCCTAAAATATTCATCCACAAGTACACACGCAATTTTGATGGGATCTACAACTCTTCAAGCGGTGGCGGCACGTACAAGGTTCTCCGCGGCTGGATCTCCGAGTTCGATACTCGAGAATCGAGGGTCCTGCTTGGTTCTCGCGTTGAAGCCGGGCTCCATCTTGCTCGTCGCCTCCACTATCTCGTCCATCGAGTCGTGTTGGGATGTTGTCAGCGTCTGCGAGTCAAGGCATGTACACCAACCGACGGAGGAAGGCAGGAACAATCGAACAACAATGAGAGGAATCAGGGGCAGACATGGGTGTTGCCCCTTCAACTAGCAAATATTGCCGTTCCCAGCGTTTACACGCAAAGTCGTCTCTGGTAAAAACAATGAGAAGGAGGTATGCGATCGGCAGGGTCAAACGAGGATAGAACCAACCCACAGGACCGCAGGACCAAACACACTCGTTTCAAGATCAATCGCAGCTGCAGCGGGACAGGGATACCGGGCGGAACACGACCACAACATTCCATTGTGCAGCAAGCGTTGCCACGGTCAGAAGGCGGCAAGAGCACGAGAGATGACGCGGTATAGTATAGCCCCCTTCGAGAGGCGAGGACACACACAACAGAGCGCGTTCAGGTTCCGATTTTTCATCATTCTAAACCTTCTGATGTGAGGAAGTCCTCGTGCTTTTACACGGCTTCGAAAAGGGGGTCCAGAGTTGAGTGTGCGTCGAGTACACGTATGGAAAGGCAACATTAGTTGTACATCCAACGGCCCCAAACACAAAAAAAGCTGAACAGTGAAAACAACACATACATCCCCACCCCGTTCCATCCCATCACCTTGATCCGGCCGTCCCCGAGCTGGACGTTCGAACGCCGGATTCTCAGCATCAGTTCCCGGTTTGCCTCCGGCGAAGAATTGGCCTCACGCATCCGGCTTCTCAGATCGGGCATGATGTTGCTGCTTTGGTACCGCCCACCCTCCCCATGGGGATGGATTATTCGTGTTGTTCGTCCCGCTGGTGTGTGTGGGGGGGGGGGGGGGGAGGGCGTGCTCGCTTCATGCTGTTTTTCTGGGCTTAACCACACCGACGACACATCATGGGGAAGATAGATTCCCAGTCCCTATTTCTCGTGGAACCAGCTCCAAAGTCGTGACATGGTACTTCTTGCAGGTAAGAAGCTCGGTGAACAGAATGCCTAAGAACCTAAGATATTCTTGGGAGATAAACCCCTGGTTTTCTCCTAGTGGTTCAGGTGCCTGAGCGGTAAGGGCACGGACAAGGCTTTTCTCCATGTATCATGACCTACAGCGTAATAACGTGCTATTTCCAGCCACTATGCAGCATGTTGTGGGTTGGTGATGACACAGCAACAAAATGGACTTTTGTTAGCAAGCTAACGCATGGACGTACGCACCAATCGAAACGAACAGACACGCAACACTGGTGTGTGGGAAAATCGACGGCACCTAGATTAAGCGCTCGTAGGTTTGGAGCCGTGGTCAACGCGTCACCTTCGCGTAGCCTGTTGTGGAGAGATCTGTTGCTCTTGAAGAGCTCGACCGAGGCGTCGTAGTCGGGAACCTTCAACCCTTCTCTTGACATGGATGTTGTGAATTGAGAGCCCGGGTGTGACGAGCCCATTTTCAAGCTTGTGAAGGGAGTCGGGGGGGTTCGGAGAGGGGGGGGGGGGGGGTGCGTCGGTACACGGTAGGTGTGCCCAGCGAGGTACCTGAGCAGCTTTTATCCATCCAGGAAAGGCACGGATAAAGATTCGGTGCCTCACGCAAGAACAGATCAGCAGCAGCCTCATCCAGGGACAAAAACCCTTGAAGCGGAATGTTGTCTAGATTGAGCCTCCGGGTCTCTGGGAGGTGCGTCTGCTCCGCAATAAACCGTACCGTTGCGCGCTGGTCAACCGAGCGGGCGTTTCAGTTCCAGAAAGGGGTGTTGTTGAGGTCTGAAAAGGGCATTTGTGGGGGCTAGTAGTCTTCTCGCATAACCACATACTGATTCAACCTTTTTGAACTTCTCTATTGTTTTCAAGTGGTGTGACCCGCCGGGACTCAAAACGAGAAGACGTTGAGTTTACGGGTGGGGTTTATCACGTGACCTGGGCTGTGCTTCAAGGTTTGCTGTAAACTGCACCCCACCCCTTCGCCCACCTGGAGGTCTTGATAAAATTTGCAGTCTCGGTACTAAGCCTCCCCCTATAGCGAGAAACATCGCCAGTTGGTGCCGGCATGGTGTTTGACGATCCCCACTCGGCGCGATCTTCCCCTAACACAATTTGAGCTGTTTGCAACGCTGCAAAATAGGAGTGGTGCGTGCGGTGATGAGCAGGCAAGGCCCGAAATAATCGTTCAGGGAGGGCGGCCGGGGACAAGGTGTGAAGACATGCGACGACATCATTCACGTGTGGAGAGTCATTCACGAGAAGAGGTGACCACCCTTCCTTTCAGTGTGTTTCGTTGTCCTTTCGTCCCATCTATTTGTTAACCGTCACCTTCAGTTTCCTTCCGAAGTACAACCTAAGCCGGTTTCCGTCACTGAAAACCTCCCGTCCGTGGCACCCAAACTTAGGAGCATAAGTTTATCCCCACCACCCGTTTGTGGAAACGATTCAAATACCCATCATTTCGAGAGTCTGGTAAAAAGAGGTGCCTCGACAAGATGACCCACCATATCAAGGGTGCACAGCTCCAGATCACAAGTATCCCGCAGCAACCTCGCACGGGCAGCCAGACTGGCACAGTAGCTGAGAACAAACTGCCTACGTGACGTTGTTGGGACACCTTTTTTCATTGCCAAGTTATTTTCTCGCTGGGATCTATCTAGTGCTCCGGCACCCGGCCGCTGCTGCGTGCTCGAGAGACTCCAGTCCCTTGTCTCGGGGCCCACATCGCCGAGGACCAACGACGACGAAGACAACCTTATCTTCATTTCCTTGTTGCGGGCAGCGAGCACGCTCGGCCCTAGTGGTGGCTCCAACTTTCTCCTGTAGGCGTTGCGCATCCTACCCTTTCGGGAAGATACGCTATTGCACCGACAGCAAACGTTGATCTCACTGGACGTAGAGCTACAGCAGCTGCATGTAACACACACGCTCTGTCCCGTGTTCACAATGCATCAGGTTACCAGCGAGAGAGGTAGCCCCGAACAACCCCCCAAAACTCCTTGCTGCTCTTCACCCTCTCTTTCGAGTATGGGACAAAGGAGAGAAAACACGACGAGCTGTTCTCGCTCGTCGCCTTCTCGTGCGTCGAACCGTCACGGATCATCCCGTAGATCTCCCGCCCACATATGGACGGTTTCGAATGCCCCCCCCCCTCACATGTTTTGTTGTTGGAAAACAGTCTGCGGAACCCCCATCATCTGTTCCACCTTTCAGCCAGCTTGTTCACGATCCCGTTTTGGTCAGCACGCGTGCGCTGGGCATCACACCATCTCACCGCCCGGGAGGAATGATAGGTGAAGTCTTGCGCTTCCCGTACGTTGCTGATATATGTTGAGGTGTTGAACACACGACTATGATTTCACTCAGTATCATGCCACTGATTTTACTTACAGCAGTCATGCCGCACTCTGTGTCCCTCATCACCGGTAGTGCTATCTCCTCTGTGCATGTAGTGCGTGCATATGCGTAGTCTACCCTGCCAAGACCATAGCTAGGAGTCGTTCCGGAACTGCAAATACATGATATCGCTGGCAGCAAGACGGAAAATTGAGTTGAAGAAAATTTGGTACCTACCTAAATTACCCCGCTTCTCTTCCTCAAATTGTAGTGACTGGTGTGGATCATCGCCTAATCGGCGGTGAGCTCTACAAACCATGTACGGTAGTCTCCACTAGCGGCAGAAAGTAGTCATGGCAAGCCGTGTGGGCATGGCACATTTGTAATCTCTCTTGTGCTTATGCCCCGATTCATCACATCGCGTGCGTATGACGTTGTGTGTATTGATGCGTGTTGACAACCTCTCTGGCAACGGGAAAGAAGGCCGCGAAAAGTACGCCGGCGCATTGGGGCTTCTCTTAGGACTCACAGGATTTTTGTGCTATCTCCTTCTGTCCCCGCCGACTGGAAGCGGGCGGTCCCTGGCCTGGGTTCCAGGTATGCACCACTACACATCGCAAATCGTGACCTCTTTAACAATCCGCGTTTCGCTGTTGCTGTTGGATCTCTCCGCCCCTCCCTCCCGCCCACTATGCCCCTCTGTCCGTTGTCTCTCTTGCTCTGTCTGTCCCCGGGGGTGGTACACTCACCACACGTGTTGTGCACCACCTTCAACACGCCTGTGCACCACATTCGAACAACAACAAACAACAACAAACAACAACAACAACAACAAAAACAGCGAAAGCAGTTGTAGCGGCGATGGCGTGTTTGGTGTCGCTGAGAGGGTCTCTACCCGGAGCCCAAGCGTTCGTAACAGCTGCGACTGGTCGGGGGTTCGCCACCACCACCACCACCGCCTTCACCCGCCGTCACCACCACCTTGGCCGTCACACGGCGGCGGCGGCAACAACCGCGCGCCCGCCAACAGAGAGAAGTATGACAGGCTCCCCGGCAACCCTCATGTTCTCGTCGGTAGGCGGCCCGGCGGAGGCGGCGATGGCGGCGGCGGCGCCGGCGGGGGCGAAGCACGTGCTGGTGCCGGTGGCGGACGGCAGCGAGGAGATCGAGAGCGTGACCATCATCGACACCCTCGTGAGGGCCGGGGCCTTGGTGACCGTTGCCAGCGTCGGACCAGAGGTGGAGGTACGCGAGAGAAAACCGGTTGCAATCACGGAGCCCCCCCTCAATGGTCAAACGACTACGGCATGCACGACTATGAGTACACCCCCCCCCCCGTTGTTGGCTTTTGAGGTACACCCGCGGGTGACTGGTTGTTTGGCGCGAAGAAAACGACAGCTCAAACTGCAAGGGGTTTCCTTCTTTCTTGGAGTGGCAACAAAATTGTGTTGGCAGGTGGATAATCACTGCTGGTGGTTATGGATGAGATATCCTTTTTTCTTTCTGACACTTGTCTGAACGCAATGTGGCCAAGTCGCATCACGGCGGTGCGTCCAGGGTTCGTCTGTAGTTGTTTACCGAAGGGTTCGAGTCGACGAGGGGGGGGGAAGGGAAAATCAATTGTTTTCGTGTTTGCCTCGCTGGTCCGTTTCGTGTCGGAGCGACGTCCGTTCTTACTGCCAAGAGTCACATCCTCTTCCTCTCTAGAAAACTTGTCTTTTTAAATCTCTTCCTTTCTGGCTCATGACCATTACCCCGAGATAAGCGACCATGTTGGCACTCCTGCCTAACGAATGGGTGTGACGTTCAGGGGTCTCCACCATCTGGGTGACCAACAGCAGCAGCAGTACTTGAAAATCTCGGAACGCTCGCGCGTGTTTGTCCAACGTTACCCGCAGGTGACGTGCTCGCGAGGGGTGAAGATCAAAGCGGACTGCAAGATCGCCGAGTGCGAGGCTCGCGACTGGGACGCCGTCGTGTGCCCGGGAGGCATGCCTGGCGCCGTGAGCCTCAAGGAGAACGAGACCCTTGAGGCCATCCTCAGGAAACAGGTTCGGCACATTTTGAGAACAGTTATACCCTCTCCCTTTGCCACGGGCACCCACGCGCCGACATGCGCACTGCGCACTGCAACAGGGTGGCATGGCTTACAACAGTACCCCCGTGGAAGCCGCACGTGAGGTGCCACAACGATAGAACCATGCTGCTGCTGCTGCAGGCGCGCCAAACGGAATTGTGTTTTTTTTTATATGCTGGTATTTCTGTGCGCATGTCAACAAGGAGAGCGGCCGATCTGAAACACGTGAACGATCTTCGCAGGCGTGTGGCAAGCAAGAAGGCGTTTCGCGCCGTGTGAGAACGAGACGTGTAGCCCGGGAAGGAGCCTCCTTCTTGATGTTTGCTGGATGCCAGCCACCTCTCTGCTTGTCCTTTCGCCC